TCCCTATTGGTAAAGAAAAGATTGAAGAAATATATAGAGATATAGATTATAGTTGTAAGAATAATATAGGTTTTGATCCTGTAAGAACTCATAAAGAAATAAGGAAAGTAGAAGATATTATAACTAAACATACGGATATCCAAGAAGAAATTTCAGTAGGATTATTTAATGGATATATAACTAAGAAAGGTCAACCTATAATCTTTGAAGAATTATTAAAATATAAAGAATATTTAAAGGTGTTCAAAAGACTGAAAAATATAGATATAGGACCTGATTGACAATTCCTTAAAAATATAAGATAAATCTTGCAAATAATTTCATTAAGGGCAATATAGTACTTTTGATAAGAAAGGCTATTGTGAAAAATAAGAAGAATCTACTAGCCATTTTCAAAGTTGTCCCTATTTTAATAAAGATTTAATTTAGTTGTTTAATTTTAATTAATATAGAGATATATTAGTAGGTTAAACCAATTAATTAGAGTATTTTTGTTCAAGAGAGATAATTAATTAAAATTGAAAAATTATGTCTAATATCATGAATGTGTAATTTATTAATTGACTTGCGGAGAAATTAATTAGATGACAATTAAGCAAATCCATGAATTCCAATCACGTTTTCATACGAAATTCTCAAGTTTTTAAGTTTTCTTATCTTGTAAAGTTTTAGTTTTTTTTCCTCATTTTTAAATCAAAATCTTAAAATGTGTGTGCTTTATTGTTGGAATTAATTTTACTAGAGTAATATAATAGAATGTAAACATTCCTCGAGGGATCAATAACTTGAACTCAAAAAGTCCACTTTATTACTTGAACGTGACATATACTGACCTATGCACCTATGATTTACACTTTCATAGTGAACACTGAGCATCTTCAACAACCATCCGTAAACGAAAGGACCAAAGTGTTGTAGGTTAATGAAGCCTCAACTTGAATGAAGCCAATTATGTTTCTTAAAGATTAGACATATATGTGCAAATGCATCTAACTTCACCCATTCAAGGCTAGATGAATTGAAGCCAATAAATACGACCTAGAGATGAGACAAAAGAATGGATGCAAAGGTAGATGCAGCGCAAAGAATGGCATCGCTCATAGCCATGCAACTTGGCCTCGAATAACAAGCCCTCTCACGTTCCTTAGGCAATAGCATCTCTATCAAAGTAGGGATCCTAAAGATTTTCACATGTAGTTTATAATCATCTCATTCATCACCAAGGCACATCGGTAACTCCATGTGCCACTAAAGTGCATGATCTTGCTAAAGTGGCTCTCTTGACCTCACCGCCTCTACCATCTCTACTAGGGATGGCAATTCGAACTGTCAAAATTGAGAATCGTGGTTAACCGAATCGATGATATAATGGAATGGATATGGTATTTGATTTTAGTGCTCGGTTCGATGCAGGACGGGTATGGTATTTACGCCGTCGCCCCGTCTTGAACCGATTACCCGTTAAAAAAAATTAATTGGGTAATTAGACTTTCCACTATTCTTTTAATGATTACGTCCAACCCAAAATTCTGGCTCATTATCGACCCGCTAAGTCCAACTAACCTAACCTAGTAACCCTACATCCTACTACACAAATATTAAACATATATGATTAAATTCGAATTTTGCATTTGGGAATTGGGATATTGTTTGCTAAATTGGCTCAGTATTGTGTTTTTGTTTTCATTGACTCTTTTTCATAAATTGTTTTTTTTTTTTTCAATTTGACGGCTGGACCTATAAAAAATAATTTATTTTTGTGGTTATTAACCGCTCAAACCGAACTGAACCAACTTACGTGGTTATGGTGCAGTTATGGTATGGCCAAAAAATTTGTAGTTCGGTGATGGTTTTGGCCGAACCAACCTCGAACCGAACCCTTGCCAACCTTAGTACCTATCCTAGAAATCAGATTTGGTATGTCTGGCCTCTAGTTGACAAAGTTCAAGGTTAGAAGTGGGTTCGTTAATCCTTTGATCAGAATATTTGCTAGAGTTGTTATTTTTTGGCGGAGGTATGTGTATCTAAGGAAATGAAATGAAAAAGATAAAGAAGAACGTGAAAAAGGGTAAAAAACAGTGTCTAGAAAAAGTTTGGTTGCTAGAGTTTTTCGTTGGAATTGAATAAAGCTTCGTCGGAGTTATAGTTTTTCGTCGAAATTCTCTCAAACTTTCAAATGTTTAATAAAATTTGAGAAGCGAGGCTTGATCCCATGTATAACAGAGGTACCTCGATCATATCCAATAGATCAGAAAGATCAATAAATCCAGGCTTTCCATCCATCTTCAAATGTGGGTCGTGGAGTGGAATCAATAATGCTAAGTGTACAGAGATTCTGTTCATAGAACTCCTACAGACACTCACAGCAGATGGGTCCCATGCAGGACCCGCCTGTATAAAAAAAATGCCCAAAATCCCACCCACCCCACCCATGTTGTGAGTGCTCGGTAGAGGTTCAGAATCTCTACCCTGTACCTCAAGCATGACTGGAAGTGGAAGAACTAAACCTCTAAAATGGGATTTCGCTTCGCAAAAGAGCTTCATCATTAAAGTAACACCACCCCAATAGAAGAGCCTCACTCCTAAAATGGGACTTCCCTTCGACAGAAAAGTCATACCCATGAGAAGGTATGACTTCGGATTTATCATCTCAGCGACCTAGCTTAGTTTATTAGTCAAAGTTCATATCTTACATAAATATTCATATTTAGACCTCGACCTACAAAGCAGGTTCTATGACTACTAGCTAGGCAAAAGGCCACACTAGGTTAGCACTCCGCTTCACATCACTTTTTCCTCAAGTGCCTTCCGAGGTGATGAAGCCAACACCTCACCCAAAACAATGTTGTCCAAGGTAAGGCTTCACCTCTGTACTAAGGCTTCACCTCTGTACTACAACATGATTCCAAGGTGAATGGCATATTCTATGATGGGCTTTTTTCATAGACCTCTAGTTGACTAAGATATATCGTACATCAAACAAATTTGATGTAGCAACTATGCAGCACCGCTAGTCAAACAACTTTTTAGTCTATACAGGCCTATTACGGCCACATGCCTAGGTGGCTACTTCTCATACTATGTTCAGGCCTATGATGGGTACACATATGACATCTAGGAATTGACGCAATGGAGCTTAACCAATGAACCATTGAGATGAGATTACTATCAAACATCCAATGGACCTTAGCTCATCTCTATTGGTTATAAATCACAATAGTGACATTCAAAAGTAATGCAAGTTTGAATTTGAATTTGAATACAAGATTACACTCAATCTTGGTAATTTTTCTCCAACCTTGTTTCTCTTCCACACCTAAATATTTTTCTTCATCTGACTTGAGCATTGAAGTCACAGGACCGTCAGACTGCACGATCCTCCTGTTGGAGCTTCGGTCTTGTGCAGTCTAACCTAGTTTCCAAATGTGTAAATAACATACTTGTGGAAGGAAGAGGAGTTGGAATCTATTGACTTTGAGTACAACAAAATGAATTACAATGAGCTTAGCCACAAGGCTGGAAAGATATGGGAACGTGTGTATAACCCATTAAGATGAATAAACATGCGTTAATGTCTAATTAATCTACAAATACAACATTTAACAACTTAAAGCATAAATTAAACTACTAGTCACTAATGGAATAACGTTAAGCAAGTGAGATCCCATCTGACACACACATTAATTCATGTATTAAGCATAAATGCAAATAGATGATACTCAAGTTGGGGTAAAGCAAAGAAACAGTTAGCTGCATTAACATTAAAACGTGGTTTATGGAGCAATTAATATCCACCTGGCGGTCCACTTCAATAATTATATAAATCCCTTTTTCGTGTCCTAAATTCTCATTAATCAGGTCCTATCTTTTACATGCAAGTTGAGATGACTTCCAAATTTGTTCTCTTATTTAGGTGTTCTAGTTTGCACAACCACTGCAAGAAAGCCGGTTCTCATTGGAGTTTAGGAGGCGGAGGGCCAGGTGGTGGAGGTGGTTTCGCGGTGGTGGTAGTGGTGGAGGGATAGGTGGAGGTTTTGGTTATGGTGGTGGCGCTGGCTTTGGTGCGGGTGTTGAGGCAGGAGGTGGACTTGGTGGAGGGTTTGGAAGAGGAGGAGGTGGAGGATTAGGGAGTGGTCCTGAAGGAGGATTTGGTAGTGGGTTTGAAGGTGGTGCTGGAGGAGGAGGTTTTGGTGGCGGATCGATGGTGGAGGCAGATTGGGTGGAGGGTCTTGTGGTGGATTTGGTGGAGGAGCTAGTGGTGGATTCCCTTGAGAACGTGCATTACCATCTTTTAATTCTCATTCCATACCAAGGTTAAAAAAAATAAAAAATGAAAATGAAAAATGAAAGGTCATGAGCCGTTGAAGTCCTATACTGCAGATGTGTGTATGCTTAACGATCGTCTTTCCTTTTCTCATGCTTCATTTCTTCCATGCAATCTTTATATGTTACAAGGTTAATTTTGGTTTGTTCATATAATTTTTGCCCAAATTTATAAAGTTCGTTCTGGGGCACATTTCAGAAATTGAAATTTAATATTTTTTAAAGTCAATAATTTTTTAGCACTTCAATACAATATTTTTCTACGTAAATAAACCCGTTCAATGCTTTGTCCCAAATTACCAAACTCATCGAAATGGACGCCGATGCTTATTTTTCCTTTTGGCTGGACACAAATTGAATAGAACCAAAAAATTGTTTGAGCATATATACAATGTTAACTCTTGGCTATATCAATACTTTCGAAATAATAAATTATACTAGAGACTCATTAAAGATGCCCAAGTAAATAGAGGAAGTGAAAAAAATGAAAACAAAAAGAAATATGATCTTCACTTTTATTCTTTTTGGACAAGACTACATTTATGAATAGTATTGTCTCATATTAGTATTATTTCTCGACCTTTTCATGGTCAAATTCATATAATTCTTACTGCTGGTACCTATACTTGAATAAGTGAATGTTCAGCTTAGCTTCGGCTCGAAATGTATTTTATGACTTAAATAATAAGAACGCTTACAGATTCTGGTAAATAAAAGTGCAATTGGAGTAATTACAATTGACAACGCTCAATGTAAAAATTCTCATATGGTATAGACACGTAACTAGTAAGGTTTACACATAATGAGCAATTGTAAGGGATCATGTCATTATTCTCATCGCACAGAGAGAAGCAAGAAGACGCGGTTCTTCATGTTATTATCGTGCAAGCCAATATTATGATACATAGTATAAAGAAAACGTCGTTAAGAAGTAGAAACTGGCCACCCTCTTCTGATGCTTGCAATAACCACTGTTTTATATACCTTTCACATACTGATATCAACCTGAGTAAACAAAAGTACAGTGTTACCTTGATGATGATGATGAAAAAACAGCCCTATTCCAAGCCTCGACCAACAGAGCTGCACAAGTAGCTGAAGTGTTTCAAAAGGCATCTTGTGTGCAAGGGCACGAAGAGTATGGCTTGTTAAAACTTGGCGGCATGTTTGGCACCGAGTACTGGAAAATAAATAAGAAAAAGAAGCCAAATTTTTGTGTAGTGTAATATCCACCAAGTGTGTGTTGTCTTGCTAACCGTTAAAAGGGACATTTGCACGGTTCAATTCCCCAGGTTTGTTCAGCATATTCTTCAATTGTTCTATCACTGCTAAACCTTCCAGAACCAGAAGTACTAAGAATGCTCATGCGAGTCCACTTCTCTTGATTAACAAATGCCAAATCAGCAGCAGCCTGGATATGAATTCACTCAGTTCAAATTCTAACACTGTTACAAGTGCAGGAATAGTTCGTGAATCTGAAAAATTACCTGAGCCTCAAGATAACTAGCAAAATCAGCTCCCAACAAATAGAAATCTTTGCCATTCTCTACAGTGTTGCATAATGACTCGAAGTAGTCCTTGAAACCAAAATAGCCATCCCGGACCATTCTACACATAAGTTTTACATAATGCTTTAGGGAGATCAAATTGCCGACAATTATATACGGAATTAAGCATATTATAAATGATTATAGTGTGCAAGTCACTGCCATCTACATACCTTACAACTCGCACAAATTGAAGAGGCACTCTAACAGAAGCTCCTTGATCTCGTAATGCTGGAACTTCACTTACTCTTGCACCTAACAGAAACTGATGAGGTGTAAAAACTGAAGTTAAATAGGGATAGACTCGAGATTTTGGAGAATAGTATGTATGAAAAACTGAAAGAGAAGCCGGAAAAATATATCAACTTCGTGTGATTTACACTGAATAAAATCTCTTTGTTCTAAGAATAAGCCTATGCTCGTTTAAGTTAAACATGTGGAGTAAAAGGCTAGAAAGTGTCAAGAAGTAAAAGGGGAGGGGTAAAATACCCCTCAGCACTTCCCCCCCTCCAAAATTGACATGAAGCTACAAAAAGGCTGAAATCCTCAATTAAAATATGTAGACAGCAAACTGTACAAAATGAACAAAAGACTACAAGGCACAATGAGTACACCACCAACAAATTTCACAAGAGGCAATTGTATAGTAAGAAATCATAGCCCAAAAGAAAGAAAAATAACTTGGAAGAATTGTGCAAGGGGGGAGCACATGTGTTGGTTTTATGACGTGATTTTTTTTGGAAATAAATAATACAGATTGGATAAAGCAACGTGAACTCATATATACATTGATGTTACTTCATGCACGTTGATATGTGATATTAGATCATACTAAACAATAAAATAGACATAGTTGTAACTTTTTTTCTAATTTAAATTATACAGTATCATTTAACCCACCTTACCAAACATGTCACTATGGGATTGCAGGGAGCACATGCATTGGTTAGTATAGACATTGATGATTTTTTTTTTTTTTAATAAATAGATAAAGTAGAATGTACAAACGAATGTAGAACTAGTATATCAATTACCATGTTATCTGCTCCTATTTCTTCAATTATTTCAACAGTCGATCCATCGGCAGTAGCTAAGAGTAAGCATCCATTCATCAGAAATTTCATACTACCAGTCCCTGATGCCTCATGTCCTGCAGTGCTGCATTTGAAGAAAGGTAGTAGTTTGACAATCAATATAATTTTGACAAGAATAATGCTATGTAGCAGTACTAGAGTCAGGGACGGATCCACGATTGGATCCAAGACCGGGCTACTCGCGGGGAAAAAAAAAAATTTATACATAAAAAACTGGTTTTTTACCAAAAATAAAAAATAAAAAATACCTTAAAAAAAGCTATTGGGCCTGAGTGGAAGGGGGGGGGGGGGCTCTGACTGGAGTCTACGTGGGTGCTAAACACGAATTCTGCTACATGGCATTATTGATGGGGAATAAAGATGATTTAATTTTAGTTTAGTTTATTCTAGTTTATTATCTTTTTTTAGTTTGACTAGAATTAAGGTATTGTTTGGGCCTGCTTGGTTTTATGAAAAAAATCAGATTTTTAGTATTTTTGATAAAAGTTGATGAAATGTGTGTTGAAAAGTGTATAAAAATTGTAGGTGTCACAAAATGTGAGGTTGAAAATGAATCTGAAGAAAATTTCTAAAGTGGGGGCCAAATAGGGACTTGACAAGTCTTCTAGTTTGACTAAATTAGAGTTTATTTACTTTATTCCATTTTCAAGTTAGGTTATTTTAGATTCTATATAAAGAGGGCTTACAACTTTGATATGAAATAAACTTGATAATTGCCCCCTCTCCTCTCTCTCTCCTCTATCTCTCAGAGTATCTCTCTCTTCTTTTTCCTCCTCTTTTCCTCTTTCTGTCTCAATTTTATTCTTTTTTCATTACATCCAACATCAATTTGGTATTAGAGCTTGACACTCTCCTTTGACCTAATTTTGGTTCACCATGCGAGTATTTCGAAGCAGCCATCTAACACAACACCACCAACAATTCCCTTTTCACCATTACCTAACTCCAAATATCAACTACATTTTCATCCACCAACAAAACTCCCTTGCACCCAACATCCAAATCCACAACAAAGACTAAATACTAGAATAGGGCAGCAACTTAAAGGTACAAATTACTCCCACATTTAAAATAATTAATGTCCGATGTTTAAAATGTAAATTTGTCGTTTATACAGAGAATATCAATAGAGGTATCTTAATGATTGTCTTCACAAAGTCAAGAAAAAATGTATTTGTAGTGACAAAATTGAAGATGATAAATACTTCAGGAAAGAATCAAAATTTAGGTTTACTAATAATGAAAGAAAGTCGCACGGAAAAACACTAATATTGTTTTCTTGTTTAAAGAATCGTTCTTCAGAATAAGGCTACCAAATCTTGATTGGAAATAGAATAAGTCAACGAGTTAAATTAGCAAAAGTTTATAATATGATATTTTATGTGAATTAGTTTCCTGATTTTTAGGTTAGGAATCTTCTTGTTTATGGACAACTATATTTTTTATTTCTAGGTTAGGAATCTTCTTGTTATAGACAGTATATGCTTATATAGATGATAAAATTCACACCATATTCGTTCAAAAGTATACATATCAGAGCTAAACTAACATTAAACGCTAGCCCTACCCATCGATTGCCCTTTGCTTCCACCATGTCTGACTTCAAATCAAAATCAACCCTCTTGCTCAATCATCAACCTTCACCGAACCAAAAGCCTCCTACATCGACTCACACTACATCCATATCACCGCAAGTCAAATTGAATTGATAAAATTTCCAGCAGTAGTCTCAATACGTGAGCATGTATATCTGTAGAAGAGGAAAGCTAAGTTACTTGACGAGTGAAGCAAAGGAACACGGACACAATGATCAGCTAATGCAGCCTCGAATGTCAAGAATTCCATGGTCATAACATGGATTGTCAACTCCATGGAAGAATAGATCAACTCCAACTACATGTGCTACAATAAGGTAAAGGAACTATGGGATAACGTTAAACATATGTACTCTAATATGGGAAAACAATCTCAAATTATGAGTTGTCACCAAGAATTTCAACTCATTAAGATGAATTTGGCAAGATATGGACTTGTTCAGCGACTATATGTGGAAATCCATTGAGGACTATAATCATTACAAGAATGTGGTCAAGGATAATTGCATCTATAAATTTCTTACACAACTCAATTAGGGACAAAATGAAGTCAAAGGCCTAATTATATGGATAATGGCCTTTTTCCCAATATTGTGAGGTATTTTTTATGTTAGGAGAAAAGAAGCACACATAAACATGTTAGAAGAAAATATGATAGGAAGAAACATGTGGAAGGTCAGGGAAAAGATTGAAAGTAGACTAATTTGCATACTATAAGTTCCAACCGATGATTCGATTGCGAATATACATAAAAAAAGGACAACCTAAGAAGATATTCCACATTCTAGTTGGCAAGCTGACTATGGAAGATATCTTCAAGCCAGCTTGAGGGGGAGTGTTGACAGAATCAATGAGGTAGCCAAATCCTTCGAAATAAGGCTATCGAATCTTTGGTATAAATAGAATTAAGCTATGATGCTCGGACTCGGGTATGGGTATCAGGTACGGGAACATGTCTAAGTATCGGATCTTTTATTTTCTAAAATGTAAGATATGAGAACATGGCTAAAAAGAGTCCAAAATTTGGACACGGGTACATTTTTCAAACTTCAATTTTTTTACTAATCCAAAATCTCCTTTTAAACAGATTTTGGACACGGGTACATTTTTCAAACTTCAATTTTTTTACTAATCCAAAATCTCCTTATAAACAGATCAAAATAAATTATTAACAAATAAGAAAATGAGTATTGAATAAGGGGTTAAGACAAATAAAATAGAATTTTGGGGTTTAATTTTCAATCATGAAAATTACTAAATGTTATATAAAATAGAAAATGAGGAATTTGATTGCAATTTCGACTTAGTGGAACACTAAGTAGTACTATATGGAACTCATTTTCATTTTATACAAACGAAACCCTAAACCATCGTTACAGATAGAGAAAGAAGGAAAAAAAGAATAAAATGGAAAGAAGAAGAAAAAGAAGGGAAAACCTAGCACCGCTGTCCTTCACCACCCTCTCCGTGGCGACGCTAAGTTTATAGAGAGCAAAAACAATAAAGAAGAAAAGGGTAAGTAAAGGAAATGAAAGAAAGAAAAAAGAAGAGGCAAAAACGACGAAGTATCCAGATGAAATTTGGAGGATTCGACACATATCTTATACCCATATTCATGTCGTGTTCGACATGGGTACTTCGACTATTTCGAAGAGTCAAAGCATAAGAGGAATTAAGTCAACTAGGTAAATTGGCTAAAGTTGGTAGTATTATATTGTGCAAAGTTTCCTGATTTCTAGGTTAGGAATCTTCTTATTTTAGACAATAATTTCACTCCATTCTTTGTATAGAAATATACATTTTTTTGTCAATTCTACACTCCGAATTAAATAAAGACATCGAATTACTTTTTTATTCAATAAAGCAAAGACTACACCTTGGATATCTAATGAAACACAGGTATTTAATGTCCTTTGACTATATATATTTAAATTATCAGAATTGAGAAGAGGATTATCCATTGCATGACAATCTACAGATACAAACAAGGCAGTAAAACAGACCTTACATGCTGTGAGAGATCACTGCCTGGGATTACTAATTCAGCAACAGAGACATTGTAATCTGGGATAAAAATCTGCAATACCAGTAGTTGAATAAACACTTTCAGCAAGCCTCAGTTATACTTCAAGCAAAAAAAAGTTGCACTAATACATGCCAAATTTGTCCTTCATCATTTAACAATACTATTCATAATTTCCTTTCTCAGTTTTCTCACTGTTTGGGTTTTATTCTTTTTCCTTCTTTTTTGGCTGCGGCAGTGGTGGTGGTGGTGTGTGGAAGGGGGGAACTTGTGCTTCTGCATCCAATCATCGATCTATTTACCTGTTTAAACATGCATGCATAACTGAAGATATGTGTGCACATGTGGTTTTGCATCCAATCATCAATCTATTTACCTGTGTAAACATGCATGCATAACTGAAGATATGTGTGCATGTGTACACAGAAGGTTTCAATATTTCTTTCTTTTTCAATTTAGAATCAAACTTTGATGCTTTCTGCCATCGTGCTTCTCCTCAATACTGTCAGCTTAAGGCAAAGGGTTGACAAAACCACCGGAAAGACAACTCAACCCCACGCCCGAAGAGAAAAAAAAATCAAGTGATAATTAGAATCAGAGATGACATGCATAAATTTTTTACTTCAGTGATATCTGGTAACAAATAACTAGTAAAAGGCATGCTCCAGTAACCAATTTTTCTAGAATCAGTTTTTATTTATTTATTTTTTTTTTTTTTTCCCCCCTCTGTGAGATGAAAGAGCAAATATAGTGATATCTGGCAGAAAATATCTCATAAAACTAATAAGGAAAACAAATAAACCCCTGTTGTACCAGTTTGAGCAGATCTCCCACACCAGGGTCATTGTTTACTTTTTCTGCAACCGCATGACAGAGTTTTATAATCTTCTTAGCAATTTCATAGCCAGGAGCAGCTTTCCCACCAATTATGCAGACACGAGGTACAACCTTCCTTCTGTCACTCTCGTTCATACTCTTGAATAAACAGAAAGAGAAGATAGTAAATTGACATATATAGACATATTTGTCGAAAAGAAGATAGCTAAAGCCTCTGTTATTTTAACTTCAAAAGCATGATACCTTAATGCAGTCGTATCGATGTATGATGCCTAATACATTCAGAAGTTGCCTTTTATACTCGTGTATCCGCTTTATCTGCACGTCAAACATTGCATCTAAACTGACCTGCAATTATTGGTGTTAAAAGATCAAATTAAGATAATGGAATGAAGAGATTTGACATTTCAACTATTAACATTCCAAACCTTCACTCCGCTCAGAGTTTCAATATACTCTGCCAGCCTCATTTTATTTATCTTCTTCACCTACACATTGAAAATTAGAGTTTGTTTTCAGGCCATTATTGAAACAGTACACAAGTAATGATTCTATCTGGAGTATCTGCATATGGTATCATTTACGTACCATCCTCCATTCTTGTTGTAGATCAGCATCTGATGCATAATCCCGTAAACCTGCTAAGAGATCAATATTACGAACCCATGCTTCTGTTCCAAGCCATTTCGAGATGACAGCGCATAAACTAGGATTGCTCACCACTATCCACCGCCGCTGATAATCGAAGATATTAAAAAGTCAAAACAAAATCATATATCAGAAATTTAATCCTTGTCAATTATAATAAGCCACAAAACTAATATTTTCTCAGAAAAAGAATTGATATATTTGCAATCAGATACTCTTGGTCATGGATTTAAATATAATTTTCTGGAATAGGCCATACATAGTTGGAAAGGCTAATTCAATGCTGCCAAATTTTCTAAAAGAAGCAGAACAAATAGGCAAGACATGTTCAAGAAGATATCAGATAAAGCTATAGAAAGTGATTCCAATACACACAGATATGCAAAAATGTACTTGAATTTTGAAGCCAAAATGCCATATAAACTGTATACCTGTGTTACTCCGTTTGTCTTATATTGGAACTTCAGTGGCCACAGGTCATAGAAATCCTGTTTAAAACAAAAATGATATGAAAATGGTGCACACGTCAGGCCATCAATGAAAAAAGAATCCAGCCTCAACGTGAGGGGACATCTTAAAGACTAAATATAAATAAATAAATGTGTCATCTCTCTAGCAGTTTAAGCTTTTAGATGTATAAGAGCATGCAATACTTATTCCATTACACAGATATTTTTGGCAAAAGGAAAATCTGATTTGCTATTTGGTAGATTACCTTGAATACTCTTGTTTTCAGTAATTCGAAATGTACTCTGGAAACACCATTCACCTTATGACAACAAACAATCGACAAATTTGCCATACGAATACTCTGCCAGCGCAAAAGAGAGAACTGTATCAACTATTGTTACTTTGCAAGGCACAACCAAGTAACTATAAACAAATAGAAAAATGAAGCCTGAGATCAAATTCCAATTCACAACACAAATTTTTCAGCAGTCATCCGAGGGAAGCTGGTGCAATCTACATGTGCAAGACCCCAAAATAACTTGGAAGTATCTAGCATCTAGACTATATCTAACATTCATTTAGCCAACAATGGCAAGATGATCATAAAGTGTAAGGCTAAGATATCCACGGACACGGACTGAACAGTAACAGAAACACAAAACGAATGCAAAAGAGAGTATACACAATGAAACGTGGTTTGGCTAACCACCAACAACCACGGAAGGAGGAGAATTACATCACTATTCGAAATGTCAATTACAAAACTTCTCTCACCTTCTTAACTTTTCCCTAAACAAAACTAGATTACTCAACATACCCCCCCCCAACATACATGCGTACCGTTTTTTCTAGTTTTTCTCCTCAATTTTTATCTACACCCCGGCGGTCTCTTTGTGCTCTCTGCCGTGTTTTCCCCTCTTCCTATGCAAAACTAATACACTCATTGCATGTCAGAACACAAGTGTTAATCAATGTCCCAATTTCACATTGGCAGATATATACAAAATGTTTGGCTTCCAACCTTCTCTGTGAATTCGTCAAAGTTATCATGGACATCTTTAAACCGCCGAATTATGTCTTGTATAGATGCCGAAACAAAGAAGTATTGTTGCTTTAATCGCAATTCCTTACCCTGAAAGAGAAGAGGAACAAGAACGAAGTAAGATAACGATAGCTTCCAGACAAAGAGGCAAAAGCATAAAATAATCAGGTGAACTTAAAGTTTCAGTTGATGCCAATCCGTTAGGCCCGCAATATGGAAAAAAATATCAGAGGCGCAACAAATTGGGCGAGGGCAGTTCGGGAATTACAAAAGAGGAGGTTGGCACATGCACGGTTATGAATTCTGTTAAGGCAGCTGGGGGCAAAACCTCTTATAAATAATGGGTTCTGTGCTCTGGTGAAGGCAGGCAAGAATTGGTGGTCAGTTTAGGAGAGAATTGGCTCTCTCGAAAAGCCAAATACCCCTTGTTTAGTTCTTTAATTTTCAGTTCTTCTTCATTCGTTCATTTAGTAGAATTACTTGTAATCACAGTTCTTTAGTGGAAATTCAGTCCTGTTTGCTAGAATTCTGACTTCCTGTTGACAGAATTATTCCAAGTATCAATTGAAATTTTCCAGGAACTTAACACAATCATAACCAATTATTGTTATCCAGTGTCATTTAGAGATGTTTGATGCGAAAATAAGCCCTTAATTTCCCTTCCTTCAGACTCCATATCAAAGCTAAGGATGCATTTTATGGCAGCACCGAGAAATTCATTACATCCATAACACCAAACAAATAAATACAAAAGAAATATCAGATGTATGGGAAGTGCTGGTTTTGAACCACTGCAGTTTCATAAAAAATGAGGCGAAAAATTGGGGCAGTTGTAGAGAAACATAATTGGTCATCTGGAAGAATGATGACAAAAGCAGCATTTCTCAACCAAATCAAGATATACTACAGTTTCGTCAAAAAGAAAGTTGCAGTTGAAGATCAAAGCCACAGCTGAGTGTCACAAGTCTATACATCTTAAGGAGGGTGGGGTGTGACCTAGAGACTAACAAAAGTTCACCAATCTTTTTGTAGCAAATGAAAATTTTTCAAAAGCTGTTTCCCTGAGACTTTCTAGTTGACACTAACGAAATTGTGTTTGCATTTTCAGCTCAAAAATTTAATCACCTCGCCCATGGATCTGATAGAGATGGCCTACCATCTATGTATATAACCGAAATAAGAAAAATAGATACTGCAGTCTTAAAATCCTTCTCATCTTTCCCAAAAGCATTCGACATATTAGACGGATATTATTCATTATTCACAATTATTATGAGAAAGCAAGCGAAACCGATGAGAACATCGGACGACGTTTACTTATTTTATTTAAGCTTTATTTATTTTCTTGGACTATTATTTAAATTTGGACTTGTATGGGCTCGGGCCCAAGCTCGTTAGGGTTGCTTTACTATTTAAACCTATTTTGCATTGTAATTTTCAGTTGATGATGAATGAATAATTATTTTGGTGGCTTATGGCGCATCCCTCCCCTTATTCTACCCTCTTCTGTTAAATTCTTCTTCTTCCCCCCTTTTAATTCCCCATTCTTCTCTTTAATTCCATCTCTCTATAGATCTGTTCTATTTCTCAATTAATCGTCTCGTTGGTGCTGCATCAAATTTGGTATCAGAGCCTAAACTTGGGTAATCTCACATCTCCAATCCAAAAATCTCTTCATATTTCTTTTCCAAGAACTTGTGGAACAGCACAAACAAATAAACTTTTAGTATGAGCAACCAAGTTATTATTTTTCTAACTTCTTCATAGTTGTTCCCAAAAAAAAAAATTGTCTTTTTTCCTACTGCTGCTCATAAATAAAAAAAAATTATGGTGGTGTTCCACAAATCCCAAACCCTAGCATTCAAGCCCATTTAGCCCAACTAACCCAACCTACTCTCTACGACCCAGACCCACTCCCCAAACACTAACTCCAGCTGGCCCATCTCTATAACAGGATCCAAACCCCTTCCCATCTGGCCCTGTCCTAAATATCCAACCAAGCCCGATTATAACCAATCCATTAACATCAAATACCCCACAATTTCACCTAATTCCTCTCACAGCCACTCTCTTGCCGCTGCCGTCTCTAATCACCATCACGCCACCACTTCATTATCTATTATACCCAAGCATCCAGAGCACTACCGCTTCATCGTCATAGGCCACCACCACCAACCCAAGAACATACACTTCCACCACAATTACCACACTCATATATTTTCTCGTCCATCTCAACAATCTAAAAGCCACAGTCACCACACACAGTTTTACGTCCACACCAAAACCAGCAAAAGTTACAATCAAGAGGGGCTAAAACCATTGGACACGAAGAGAAGAACAGAATCATAGTTGGGGCTCATAAGTCGGCGATTCAGATCAATCGGCATACAAATAATCAAAACTAAACAACAGGGAGTCCTTGATCTCTATTTAGTATTGGTTTATACTACTACTTCATTTTTAAAATTGCATCAATTAAAATCTTGTGCTACTGTTATCGTGATAATTTTAGCCTTAAACCCCATTTGATCGAAACCATTAATCGAATTGACACCAGTGACCGAATTGACTTCCATTGTTCCCCACTTAAATTGATTGGAGAATTTGACTTGTGTGTTGACCCTTGCTTTGACATTTTACATGTACCAGCAATATTAGCTTGTTTTGGATTTAATTAATCCCAATATTTAAAATTAAATAATAAAAAAAAATTGATACAAGTTATTTTCCATTGCTTGCACGTATTGTTCACTGATCTCATCATAGCACATCATTTAGCTGGTATTACATTGCATGTAGTTGCGTAGTGGTCGTCTTGTCATCTCTATTTTCAATGCATTGACCATGGATCCATCCCAATTTGATGCACTCACTAGACAATTAGCGCAACTTGCTACTAGCCTATCAACTGTCCAATCAGATATAACTGCTACTCATGAGGAGAGAAAGAACCTAACTGATAAGTTGAGCAATTTTAAGCAAACCCCTCGTTTGATTGACACTAATTCTGAAGCTTCTCATAATAGACAATATTATCGTGGACAAAGTGATCAAAAATATTTTCGACACGATCGTAGGAATAGGGATCATGTTCATGAGCAAGAACAAGGCCATCATGATGAGCGTTTCTTTAGAGACATTGACTTAGATACTCCTACTTTCGATGGTTGCTTAGATCATGAAATTATTACCCAATCGAACACCTTTACACAAGAGAATCGGCTAGTAACTGAATACATTGCTCAATTTGAGGAATTTCGAGTGAAATGTCATGTCGTTGAGGATGAGGCCCTGACTTTAAGTAGGTTTATACAAGGTCTACGAGATGAACTTAGGCGTGAGCTTTTCTTTCGAGGCATCACTACTCTTGATCAAGCTTACTCTTTAGCTCGGGACTATGAGTTACTTATTAGTATTACATATGAAAAGCGTGATCACCATCGTTCACCCATCTCATTAGCGTCATCTCATCATGAGTCTATCATAGAACCTCCCAGTCTAGTGCTCCTTCCCTTTGGAAAAACAAGTGTAAAGGTTGTGATAGCCCAAGGTCGTCTTCTTCATGTAGAAAGCGTAACGACAATCATCCTTCAGTTTCATTGGCTCCACTTCCTCTTGTTAAGTCCCTTCTAGGACATCCCTCGTCTAGTGTTCCTCCCATTTGGAAAAATAAGTGCAAAGGTCGTAATAGTCCAAGGGCCCCTTCTCCTTATAGAAGGCGTATTGACAACCATTCTTCCGTCTTATTGGCTCCACCTCCACCTGTTAAGTCTCTTCTAAGACCTCCCCCGTCTAATGTTCCTCAAATCTTGAAAAATAAGTATAAAATTTTTGAAACTCCATAGACTTCTTCTCACCTGCTATGCATCAGCTATAAGGACTTTGGTCACATCTCTTCCAAATGTCCTAACCGAACCTTAGTCATAGAAGAACGAAAGGATGTAATAAAAGAGTCGTTAGAAGATCTAGTCTATGAGTATAAACTTGAAGATTTTGATGACTTGGATGATAGTAAAGACACTTCCTTAAGTGGAATCCCGACCCTTCTCGAGACTTTAGAAACTATATCCCTTATTTCCGACAACTCTCGATCACATGTTATATGTCATACCCTTACCCAACTCAAAGAGTTTGATGATTTCACTAGTCACTCTTGGAGAATCCAGTCGCCTGTTTTTAGCACTAAATCGAAATTCTCCACTACTGACCAACCTCAAACTGATGGTCAAAACGAAATTGCTAACCGAAGTCTTGGCAATTTATTACAATCTATAGTCCAGAAAAATCTTGGGAATTGGGGCTCAATCCCTCCAACTATTCACATCGCATATAACAATTCTATGAATCAGTCTCTAGATCTAAATCCATTTGAAGTTGTTCATAGTTATAAGTCTAGGCGACCGTTAGATCTTATTCCCATGTCCTCGCATGCTAGTATGTCGTTGTCAGTTGAAGCATTTGTATATCATCTTTATGACTTGCATATTGAGATCAATAAACAACATGACGCAAGTAATGCATTATATAAACTTCAAGCTGATTCGCATAAACGATATTTTCAATTTAATATTGAGGATTATGTCATATTGCAAGCTTGTAGTGCTGGTCCTTTAAAAATTTTAAAGCATGTTGGTTCAAATGCACATGTCATTGCCCTTTCATCACATTTTGGCTACCACTCTGCTTTAAATATTGAGGACTTCATTACTTACAAACACCGTATTACTTCCTTTGATGATCCATTTCTACCTAACTTTGTGGACCCCCAATTTGATTATATTGATATTTCTACTTTAATACCATCTATCACAGCACACAAAGATAAAATTGATGTTATTTTAGATGAACGTATTGTATTGACCAATGATGGCAAAATTCAGTACTTCCCTATTTGTTGGGTAGATCGACGTGTTTCTTATGCTCTCCATTATGTACAATCATGTGGAAATTTTGAAGATGAGATGCATGGGTATTGGTTATTTGGAGTCCAGTATCAGTACTTGGTTAGAAAGAAAGATCGCCCTCCTTGGTCAAATCATATTCTTGGGAATAAGCTACAATTTTCAGTACTATCAAGTATGGAATTTTGTTACTTGGTTCGTCAGAAAGATCATCCCCCGTAGCTTGACTTGAAGCATTTGGAGTATGAGATTGACTGCAGCCTATACTGTCTATCAACTCGACAGGGTCGAGTTTTTCTCCCACCCCGAGAGAGTTGATGAGGACATCGGACGACGTTTACTTATTTTATTTAAACTTTATTTATTTTCTTGGACTATTATTTAAATTTGGACTTGTATGGGCTCGGGTCCAAGCTCGTTTGGGTTGCTTTACTATTTAAACCTATTTTGCATTGTAATTTTCGGTTGATGATGAATGAATAATTATTTTGGTGGCTTATGGCACATCCCTCCCCTTATTCTACCCTCTTCTGTTAAATTCTTCTTCTTCCCCCCGCCCCCCCTTTAATTCTCCATTCTTCTCTTTAATTCCCTCTCCCTATAGATCTGTTCTATTTCTCAATTAATCGTCCCGTTGGTGCTGCATCAAAAACACTCATGGATGTGTAGACACACATGCAAGCACGAGCCTCCATTTTAGAAATATATACCTGATAAGAACGATCATCAGGATACAAGACATTGCTTATGATTTCAGCCTTCTGTCTGTTTACCACAGCATTGATATAGTCACCAGTATTGTAAGATTCCTGCAATGTATTTTCCACATAAAAAGATATCAGAAAATGCATAATAATGACATACGAGATCATAAAATCTTCAAAACAAAATTTGTTACTGTCAAAATCAGTTCTTCTTAATTCTATCTCTAAGATCATCCGTGATGCTTAAAAAGAAAACTAACTTCTTAGCACATGATCTAGATTAATATAACAAAAACCATTTTGTACATGCTAATTGAAAACAACCAAGATTTTACCTTTTCTTGCAAAGACATAATTAACATAATTTTACATCACAGGTGACTAGGCACCATTCCAAATTCCCAAAAGCTCATTTTATCTTTGGTCTTATAGATAGAGAAGAAAGAATAAACAATGGGCTCACGTTCAGGCTGCTTCATTGTAAAAGTAGAAGAAAGTCCATAGGACCTTGTCATCCTTCAGAAGGCATATTAAAATTGCATGATATAATACAAGTAGGAGTGAAATCCAGTCAAATTACCAGGTCATACTGACCACTTGGTTTAGCAGCCCATAGCCGAAGATTAATAGCATTTCGTGTTCCATATCCAGGAATAGGATTGTCGTATGCAACAGCTTCAACCTACAAGGAAGAAGAAAAAGAAGAAGAAATCTAAGGAAAACCAATTATCAAATTGCTTGGAAAAACTTATCCATCAAGCAATAACAGATACTGGAGAAAGTTATAAACAAATTCAAATTATTTGATGCTGTTGTTGATGGTTGAGTAAACTTTCGAATTAGTCAAAAAATACACTCACTGTTTCTCCAGGTATCCAAACTTTATAATTTGATCCATTTGAAACTTCCTCTTCAACTGTCCCATAGAACTATCCACGAAACATTCACCAAGAAACATAGAAGTTCAGATGCAAGATTCAAGAAGATGATTTAAGTACTAAATAGAAAGAAAGCAGAAAAGTGATTGAACAGGGCAGTACTTTCAGACCTTCACAGCATATGACACTTGAACCCTCTCTATTTCCCAGGGATTTCCAAAGTTCAGCCAATAATCTGGCTGTTCGTGTTGAAACCCATCTACTATAATTTGCCTGAATAGCCCATATTGATAACGGAGTCCATAACTAAAGAAATAGAAATGCTGTCAATCTATGCATAGTTGAACTTTCTTGTCCAAAAAGAAGACTTTTCTGCTTAAATAGAGTAACAATATACTTTTTTGAGTCTGATTACAAGCTTCAGAGCAAGCTCATCATAGGAATGTACCATGCATTATTGCTTCAACTATACACATGCTTAATCATAATAACACTGATTTAACTTAACAGAACAGTATGCTCCAACTATACCCAATATGCTTCATGGTAAGCACTTCAATGGTCTCCTTGGGCTAAGATGAGACAAGCCTAAATGAGTTTGATATTTCTAAAACATCAAAGTATGTAAACAATGAAGCACAGAATATAGCATACCCCCATGCTGGAAAATCCAACGTTGCTAAAGAATCCATCTGGCAAGCTGAAAGCCGAGCTAAGCCACCATTACCTAGGGCTGCATCTCCTTCCTTGAAAGGAAGTGAAAATACGAGGCAGCTCATGGATCAATATACTGGATAGTCAGTTTCAAATCAAATGTAAACCAAGAGATTAAATGATAACAAGAGATCAAGGGTAATATGATTACCAAAAGTTCCCTCATTGGCAATCATAAAATGCATACATGTTTCAATATCAGACATAGCTGGCATATCCACAACTACTTTGATTCCCATTCCCCTCATTGAATTATTTTTGTAGTGAAAGTGCAAGGCCACTTCTAACTCTTCATATACATGGAGGAGACTTCTTAGCTTACCCTTCTCGGGAACCCTAGGAGCCCTATTTCCAGTAATTAAGAATTCCCCAAAATGGAGAACAAGGGGAAAAGGACAAAGAAGTATGGAAAATAGTAGACCACCACCAACTGCAAACACAAACAATAAAATCCACCCCAAAAATAACCCGCACCGCCAACATCACCACCACACGAGCACTGTCAACAGCACCACCACCACCACCACCACCACCACCACAATGGTTCAACATCTTTGCTGCATGCTACTCACAATCTCCGCTACACAATGGTTCAACTCTCCAGTGTCATCTCAGGTGAGCGTTGCTGCAATGGTCTCCAACGATAGTTTTCGATGGTTGCAATAGAGAGAGAGAGAGAGAGAGAGATATTAGGGTTTTGTTGGGTGGTTGGATATGTGTATTAATTTAGCGTCTTTTGAGCTCTCTCTCTCTCTCTCTCTCTCTTGTTTAACACACGCTTTGCTGCAGAATTCTTCTCTCTCCAAACTTCCAGCTGTGTGTGTTCCTCTTCTGTTCACACACCTATTGCTTGTAGAAGCACATGCCATTCTCAACTCTAAAAGGTAAGTTCTTTTCAAACCCTATATTTTATTTCCTATTTCTTCCTTCACAATCTTCTCATATCCTATGTGTCTACATACATTTTGCACTAATGCATGATTATCTTATCTAACAGTCTTTTTTATTTCAAACCAAACGTAAAGTTGTGTCTATAAAATGCCAAGTTTAATTTGCCATCAATGATACACCAAAAAATATCTAGGATACATCTCTTACCTTCACAGCGCCTTCCTCCACAATTGACATCCGAGCATGTCGACTGTAGTCCTGACCAAACTTCTTTTTCAACTCTTCCATAAATTTATAATTTATGTCATATATAATCTGAAAGAAAAGTGATCATAAATCAGATAACAATCAGGAAAATATTCAAAATCAACCATCCAATGAAATGGTCAGTGATGGAACTCTCCTAAATTGTTAGTTCAGTAAAACTTGTTCGGTGATATGTTAATGGAAAATCAAGAGGCCCCTACAAATACAAAAGATAAGATCTCAAAGTTTATGTGAACCATCAAATTCTATAATATTCAGTCTTTGATTAAATTTTAAAAAAAAAAAATTTAAAAATAAATAAAAAAGACTATTCATTTGTGTTGTAAAAGAGAACATACTTGTAGGTGACGTGGGAGAAGACTGCCCATAAGATCAACAGGAATTTTCTCTAGTCCTTCAGGTTGTACTGTGTGAGTTGTGAATGAGAAAATTTTGCAGACAATATCCCATGCTTTATCCCAGCCCAAGTGTTCTTCATCAAAGAGAACTCTCATGACCTCAATTATTGCAAGTGACGGATGAGTATCATTTATCTGAAGAGCGATCTGAAAAAGATGTCCTGAAAAATAATCACTGGAGAACCGAGAAAGAGCAACAAGAGCATTTTTTTACTGCACTCGATAGAGAATCAGCAATTAATATCATCTAAGGCAAATATAAAGTTTACATTAACCTTTTCAAATTGGAAAAATGTGATCAGGAGGACTGGAAATATCAAATTGTTTACCGCTACCCCCACCCCTATCCCAACCCTCTACTACAACAGAAAATGACAGCGAGGGGTCAATAATTAGCATACAGATAATGATGTTACATAAGATATAAAGTTTGAATAACTCAATTATTTCATTTACAATGCGTGCATGTCAGAACACAAGTGTTAATCAATGTCCCAATTTCACATTGGCAGATATATACAAAATGTTTGGCTTCCAACCTTCTCTGTGAATTCGTCAAAGTTATCATGGACATCTTTAAACCGCCGAATTATGTCTTGTATAGATGCCGAAACAAAGAAGTATTGTTGCTTTAATCGCAATTCCTTACCCTGAAAGAGAAGAGGAACAAGAACGAAGTAAGATAACGATAGCTTCCAGACAAAGAGGCAAAAGCATAAAATAATCAGGTGAACTTAAAGTTTCAGTTGATGCCAATCTGTTAGGCCCGCAATATGGAAAAAAATACCAGAGGCGCAACAAATTGGGCGAGGGCAGTTCGGGAATTACAAAAGAGGAGGTTGGCACATGCACGGTTATGAATTCTGTTAAGGCAGCTGGGGACAAAACCTCTTATAAATAATGGGTTCTGTGCTCTGGTGAAGGCAGGCAAGAATTGGTGGTCAGTTTAGGAGAGAATTGGCTCTCTCGAAAAGCCAAATACCCCTTGTTTAGTTCTTTAATTTTCAGTTCTTCTTCATTCGTTCATTTAGTAGAATTACTTGTAATCACAGTTCTTTAGTGGAAATTCAGTCCTGTTTGCTAGAATTCTGACTTCCTGTTGACAGAATTATTCCAAGTATCAATTGAAATTTTCCAGGAACTTAACACAATCATAACCAATTATTGTTATCCAGTGTCATTTAGAGATGTTTGATGCGAAAATAAGCCCTTAATTTCCCTTCCTTCAGACTCCATATCAAAGCTAAGGATGCATTTTATGGCAGCACCGAGAAATTCATTACATCCATAACACCAAACAAATAAATACAAAAGAAATATCAGATGTATGGGAAGTGCTGGTTTTGAACCACTGCAGTTTCATAAAAAATGAGGCGAAAAATTGGGGCAGTTGTAGAGAAACATAATTGGTCATCTGGAAGAATGATGACAAAAGCAGCATTTCTCAACCAAATCAAGATATACTACAGTTTTGTCAAAAAGAAAGTTGCAGTTGAAGATCAAAGCCACAGCTGAGTGTCACAAGTCTATACATCTTATGGAGGGTGGGGTGTGACCTAGAGACTAACAAAAGTTCACCAATCTTTTTGTAGCAAATGAAAATTTTTCAAAAGCTGTTTCCCTGAGACTTTCTAGTTGACACTAACGAAATTGTGTTTGCATTTTCAGCTCAAAAATTTAATCACCTCGCCCATGGATCTGATAGAGATGGCCTACCATCTATGTATATAACCGAAATAAGAAAAAATAGATACTGCAGTCTTAAAATCCTTCTCATCTTTCCCAAAAGCATTCGACATATTAGACGGATATTATTCATTATTCACAATTATTATGAGAAAGCAAGCGAAACCGATGAGAACATCGGACGACGTTTACTTATTTTATTTAAGCTTTATTTATTTTCTTGGACTATTATTTAAATTTGGACTTGTATGGGCTCGGGCCCAAGCTCGTTAGGGTTGCTTTACTATTTAAACCTATTTTGCATTGTAATTTTCAGTTGATGATGAATGAATAATTATTTTGGTGGCTTATGGCGCATCCCTCCCCTTATTCTACCCTCTTCTGTTAAATTCTTCTTCTTCCCCCCTTTTAATTCCCCATTCTTCTCTTTAATTCCCTCTCTCTATAGATCTGTTCTATTTCTCAATTAATCGTCTCGTTGGTGCTGCATCAAATTTGGTATCAGAGCCTAAACTTGGGTAATCTCACATCTCCAATCCAAAAATCTCTTCATATTTCTTTCCCAAGAACTTGTGAAACAGCACAAACAAATAAACTTTTAGTATGAGCAGCCAAGTTATTATTTTTCTAACTTCTTCATAGTTGTTCCAAAAAAAAAAATTACTGTTCACCCAAAAAAAAAAAAATTGTCTTTTTTCCTACTGCTGCTCATAAATAAAAAAAAATTATGGTGGTGTTCCACAAATCCCAAACCCTAGCATTCAAGCCCATTTAGCCCAACTAACCCAGCCTACTCTCTACGACCCAGACCCACTCCCCAAACACTAACTCCAGCTGGCCCATCTCTATAACAGGATCCAAACCCCTTCCCATATGGCCCTGTCCCAAATATCCAACCAAGCCCGATTATAACCAATCCATTAACATCAAATACCCCACAATTTCACCTAATTCCTCTCACAGCCACTCTCTTGCCGCTGCCGTCTCTAATCACCATCACGCCACCACTTCATTATCTATTGTACCCAAGCATCCAGAGCACTACCGCTTCATCGTCATAGGCCACCACTACCAACCCAAGAACATACACTTCCACCACAATTACCACACTTATATATTTTCTCGTCCATCTCAACAATCTAAAAGCCACAGTCACCACACACAGTTTTACGTCCACACCAAAACCAACAAAAGTTACAATCAAGAGGGGCTAAAACCATTGGACACGAAGAGAAGAACAGAATCATAGTTGGGGCTCATAAGTCGGCGATTCAGATCAATCGGCATACAAATAATCAAAACTAAACAACAGGGAGTCCTTGATCTCTATTTAGTTTTGGTTTATACTACTACTTCATTTTTAAAATTGCATCAATTAAAATCTTGTGCTACTGTTATCGTGATAATTTTAGCCTTAAACCCCATTTGATCGAAACCATTAATCGAATTGACACCAATGACCGAATTGACTTCCATTGTTCCCCACTTAAATTGATTGGAGAATTTGACTAGTGTGTTGACCCTTGCTTTGACATTTTACATGTACCAGCAATATTAGCTTGTTTTGGATTTAATTAATCCCAATATTTAAAATTAAATAATAATAAAAAATTGATACAAGTTATTTTCCATTGCTTGCACGTATTGTTCACTGATCTCATCATAGCACATCATTTAGCTGGTATTACATTGCATGTAGTTGCGTAGTGGTCGTCTTGTCGTCTCTATTTTCAATGCATTGACCATGGATCCATCCCAATTTGATGCACTCACTAGACAATTAGCGCAACTTGCTACTAGCCTATCAACTGTCCAATCAGATATAACTGCTACTCATGAGGAGAGAAAGACCCTAACTGATAAGTTGAGCAATTTTAAGCAAACCCCTCGTTTGATTGACACTAATTCTGAAGCTTCTCATAATAGACAATATTATCGTGGACAAAGTGATCAAAAATATTTTCGACACGATCGTAGGAATAGGGATCATGTTCATGAGCGAGAACAAGGCCATCATGATGAGCGTTTCTTTAGAGACATTGACTTAGATACTCCTACTTTCGATGGTTGCTTAGATCATGAAATTATTACCCAATCGAACACCCTTACACAAGAGAATTGGCTAGTAACTGAATACATTGCTCAATTTGAGGAATTTCGAGTGAAATGTCATGTCGTTGAGGATGAGGTCCTGACTTTAAGTAGGTTTATACAAGGTCTACGAGATGAACTTAGGCGTGAGCTTTTCTTTCGAGGCATCACTACTCTTGATCAAGCTTACTCTTTAGCTCGGGACTACGAGTTACTTATTAGTATTGCATATGAAAAGCGTGATCACCATCGTTCACCCATCTCATTAGCGTCATCTCATCATGAGTCTATCATAGAACCTCCCAGTCTAGTGCTCCTTCCCTTTGGAAAAACAAGTGTAAAGGTTGTGATAGCCCAAGGTCGTCTTCTTCATGTAGAAAGCGTAACGACAATCATCCTTCAGTTTCATTGGCTCCACTTCCTCTTGTTAAGTCCCTTCTAGGACATCCCTCGTCTAGTGTTCCTCCCATTTGGAAAAATAAGTGCAAAGGTCGTAATAGTCCAAGGGCCCCTTCTCTTTATAGAAGGCGTATTGACAACCATTCTTCCGTCTTATTGGCTCCACCTCCACCTGTTAAGTCTCTTCTAAGACCTCCCCCGTCTAATGTTCCTCAAATCTTGGAAAATAAGTGTAAAATTTTTGAAACTCCATAGACTTCTTCTCACCTGCTATGCATCAGCTATAAGGACTTTGGCCACATCTCTTCCAAATGTCCTAACCGAACCTTAGTCATAAAAGAACGAAAGGATGTAATAAAAGAGTCGTTAGAAGATCTAGTCTATGAGTATAAACTTGAAGATTTTGATGACTTGGATGATAGTGAAGACACTTCCTTAAGTGGAATCCCGACCCTTCTCGAGACTTTAGAAACTATATCCCTTGTTTCCGACAACTCTCGATCACATATTATATGTCATACCCTTACCCAACTCAAAGAGTTTGATGATTTCACTAGTCACTCTTGGAGAATCCAGTCGCCTGTTTTTAGCACTAAATCGAAATTCTCCACTACTGACCAACCTCAAACTGATGGTCAAAACGAAATTGCTAACCGAAGTCTTGGCAATTTATTACAATCTACAGTCCAGAAAAATCTTAGGAATTGGGGCTCAATCCCTCCAACTATTCACATCGCATATAACAATTCTATGAATCAGTCTCTAGATCTAAATCCATTTGAAGTTGTTCATAGTCATAAGTCTAGGCGACCGTTAGATCTTATTCCCATGTCCTCGCATGCTAGTGTGTCGTTGTCAGTTGAAGCATTTGTATATCATCTTTATGACTTGCATATTGAGATCAATAAATAACATGACGCAAGTAATGCATTATATAAACTTCAAGCTGATTCGCATAAACGATATTTTCAATTTAATATTGAGGATTATGTCATATTGCAAGCTTGTAATGCTGGTCCTTTAAAAATTTTAAAGCATGTTGGTTCAAATGCACATGTCATTGCCCTTTCATCACATTTTGGCTACCACTCTGCTTTAAATATTGAGGACTTCATTACTTACAAACACCGTATTACTTCCTTTGATGATCCATTTCTACCTAACTTTGTGGACCCCCAATTTGATTATATTGATATTTCTACTTTAATACCATCTATCACAGCACACAAAGATAAAATTGATGTTATTTTAGATGAACGTATTGTATTGACCAATGATGGCAAAATTCAGTACTTCCCTATTTGTTGGGTAGATCGACGTGTTTCTTATGCTCTCCATTATGTACAATCATGTGGAAATTTTGAAGATGAGATGCATGGGTATTGGTTATTTGGAGTCCAGTATCAGTACTTGGTTAGAAAGAAAGATCGCCCTCCTTGGTCAAATCATATTCTTGGGAATAAGCTACAATTTTCAGTACTATCAAGTATGGAATTTTGTTACTTGGTTCGTCAGAAAGATCATCCCCCGTGGCTTGACTTGAAGCATTTGGAGTATGAGATTGACTGCAGCCTATACTGTCTATCAACTCGACAGGGTCGAGTTTTTCTCCCACCCCGAGAGAGTTGATGAGGACATCGGACGACGTTTACTTATTTTATTTAAGCTTTATTTATTTTCTTGGACTATTATTTAAATTTGGACTTGTATGGGCTCGGGTCCAAGCTCGTTAGGGTTACTTTACTATTTAAACATATTTTGCATTGTAATTTTCGGTTGATGATGAATGAATAATTATTTTGGTGGCTTATGGCACATCCCTCCCCTTATTCTACCCTCTTCTGTTAAATTCTTCTTCTTCCCCCCCTTTAATTCTCCATTCTTCTCTTTAATTCCCTCTCCCTATAGATCTGTTCTATTTCTCAATTAATCGTCCCGTTAGTGCTGCATCAAAAACACTCATGGATGTGAAGACACACATGCAAGCACGAGCCTCCATTTTAGAAATATATACCTGATAAGAACGATCATCAGGATACAAGACATTGCTTATGATTTCAGCCTTCTGTCTGTTTACCACAGCATTGATATAGTCACCAGTATTGTAAGATTCCTGCAATGTATTTTCCACATAAAAAGATATCAGAAAATGCATAATAATGACATACGAGATCATAAAATCTTCAAAACAAAATTTGTTACTGTCAAAATCAGTTCTTCTTAATTCTATCTCTAAGATCATCCGTGATGCTTAAAAAGAAAACTAACTTCTTAGCACATGATCTAGATTAATATAACAAAAACCATTTTGTACATGCTAATTGAAAACAACCAAGATTTTACCTTTTCTTGCAAAGACATAATTAACATAATTTTACATCACAGGTGACTAGGCACCATTCCCAATTCCCAAAAGCTCATTTTATCTTTGGTCTTATAGATAGAGAAGAAAGAATAAACAATGGGCTCACGTTCAGGCCGCTTCATTGTAAAAGTAGAAGAAAGTCCATAGGACCTTGTCATCCTTCAGAAGGCATATTAAAATTGCATGATATAATACAAGTAGGAGTGAAATCCAGTCAAATTACCAGGTCATACTGACCACTTGGTTTAGCAGCCCATAGCCGAAGATTAATAGCATTTCGTGTTCCATATCCAGGAATAGGATTGTCGTATGCAACAGCTTCAACCTACAAGGAAGAAGAAAAAGAAGAAGAAATCTAAGGAAAACCAATTATCAAATTGCTTGGAAAAACTTATCCATCAAGCAATAACAGATACTGGAGAAAGTTATAAACAAATTCAAATTATTTGATGCTGTTGTTGATGGTTGAGTAAACTTTCGAATTAGTCAAAAAATACACTCACTGTTTCTCCAGGTATCCAAACTTTATAATTTGATCCATTTGAAACTTCCTCTTCAACTGTCCCATAGAACTATCCACGAAACATTCACCAAGAAACATAGAAGTTCAGATGCAAGATTCAAGAAGATGATTTAAGTACTAAATAGAAAGAAAGCAGAAAAGTGATTGAACAGGGCAGTACTTTCAGACCTTCACAGCATATGACACTTGAACCCTCTCTATTTCCCAGGGATTTCCAAAGTTCAGCCAATAATCTGGCTGTTCGTGTTGAAACCCATCTACTATAATTTGCCTGAATAGCCCATATTGATAACGGAGTCCATAACTAAAGAAATAGAAATGCTGTCAATCTATGCATAGTTGAACTTTCTTGTCCAAAAAGAAGACTTTTCTGCTTAAATAGAGTAACAATATACTTTTTTGAGTCTGATTACAAGCTTCAGAGCAAGCTCATCATAGGAATGTACCATGCATTATTGCTTCAACTATACACATGCTTAATCATAATAACACTGATTTAACTTAACAGAACAGTATGCTCCAACTATACCCAATATGCTTCATGGTAAGCACTTCAATGGTCTCCTTGGGCTAAGATGAGACAAGCCTAAATGAGTTTGATATTTCTAAAACATCAAAGTATGTAAACAATGAAGCACAGAATATAGCATACCCCCATGCTGGAAAATCCAACGTTGCTAAAGAATCCATCTGGCAAGCTGAAAGCCGAGCTAAGCCACCATTACCTAGGGCTGCATCTCCTTCCTTGAAAGGAAGTGAAAATACGAGGCAGCTCATGGATCAATATACTGGATAGTCAGTTTCAAATCAAATGTAAACCAAGAGATTAAATGATAACAAGAGATCAAGGGTAATATGATTACCAAAAGTTCCCTCATTGGCAATCATAAAATGCATACATGTTTCAATATCAGACATAGCTGGCATATCCACAACTACTTTGATTCCCATTCCCCTCATTGAATTATTTTTGTAGTGAAAGTGCAAGGCCACTTCTAACTCTTCATATACATGGAGGAGACTTCTTAGCTTACCCTTCTCGGGAACCCTAGGAGCCCTATTTCCAGTAATTAAGAATTCCCCAAAATGGAGAACAAGGGGAAAAGGACAAAGAAGTATGGAAAATAGTAGGCCGGTTGTAAATGTTCACTGACTAACAAGACAAAGATCATACTTTATTCGGATACTGAAAAGATAGCATGTATTGTTTCATTCATTTTCATGCTCCATAAGGTAGTAAAGACATTTATATCTGAACTGGGCTTACTGCTTAAGAGCATGCAAGTAAGGTAACATAAATTGGAGAACTTGCTAACCTGCTCAGCTAAAACTTCAAACTCAAACCCAAGTTGGCCCAAAGCATCTACATACTGGTCTCGAATGCCAAGGTTTATGACACTGTTTGACAATGAGCAACCTGACAAACAAATGCCACATTCATCTTCTTTGCAAGGAACAGAATAAATATTTTACAGAAATTGTAGTACTATAGCAGTAGAAGTGGAAGGAAAAAGATTAAAAAGAAACAGAGAAATAGGAGAAGGGCCAAACTAGCAGCAAGCAACTTTAATATCTAGACAAGCATGCTGCTTGATTATGCTTGATGTAGGAAGAAATTGATTAAAACAAATATAAGAAAGGGCCACAAACCAGCTAAGTCCTATAATTTTCCAATCCTGAAAACAGGGGAAAAAAAAGATAATGCAGAATACCTAAGCAAATTCGTATAATTAATTAGTACCCATAAGAAACTCAAGTGAAAGAAAGTATAGGCGTTTTGGATCTTTTTTCTTAAAATATTGGTGAGTGTCGTGCCACCGCTCGATAAGCCGATCTCTTACGCTGTGGGATAATGCCTGCATACATTATTTGAAGAAATTAAAATATAAACATCCATTGGCTGCTCACATAAGAGCAATAGCTAAGCAAAAAGTGTTACCTTCTTTTATGCTTTTTGTGTGAACATCAGGGAAAATACAGTAATTTGTTCTCTATTACTTCAATTACTTATGGGATTGTCAGCATATCTATTCATAAAGATTAAGAAGTGCAAACTTTATTCAACATTAACTTTTGAAGAAAGTGATCTACTAAGCTTCCCATGATAAAATGTAATCAAGCATTTATTTGCAGGTTAGTAGTATCCTTAAATATGATTATGCACATTGCCGAAAGTGGAAGAGAGCAGCTATAATGTCATCTAGTCGAATGTAGAAACATATTTAAATTCATGTGGTGTATTTAAGAATATGATCGAAAGGTAAGTTACCCAATCCACTACGCTTCCAACTAAAGTCTACATGATTTACAGGCCAAGATCATTATAAGAACGAAACATAACCTGATAAGCTTCAAAATCATCAAAACTGAACCTTGACCTGGCCACCGTGTACTCAACATGATAGACAATATCCTTCTGCAAACTTACTGGATCATTCTTCAAAAACCCATCCATCAATCCAAACATCTTCTCTGCCTTTGCTCTGTGATCTCCCAGCGATTCAAATCCGAGCCCAGCTTTCCTCACCACCAACCCTCTTCCACCCAACCCCACTTCCGCGCCACTAGAAGCATCACCGGGCTCAATTGCCTCCATCAATGCCTTCTTAATAATCTCCAAATTTTCAACATTCTCGATTTTCCTGCCCTCCGAAGTTTTTACATAGAACTTTTTAATAAAAAAATCCCCTTCAAATTCGACAGTGGCTCTTTCAACAAAGAGGCCGAGGACTTTGAAAACCCGAGTGATAACTTGAAGCAGCCCGATTTTGTTCCGGGCTCGGATTATGAAGAGCGTGGAGTCTAACGCGTCGACGTTTTGGACTGTAACGGTTGACAAGCTGCCAGAGGCAGTAACATTAGTAATAGAATCATTATTATCGGTTGTTGAGGCTTGTAATGGGCTGGAGAAGCCATTAGATAATTTAAATAAATGGGTACTGCGGTGGAGCTTTGTGGGGCTTAATGAAGTCGACAGTAGACGGTTGAAATTGCAAGGTGAGAGAACCGAAGGATTTGAGAAGGATGATCTAACGGTGAGAAGAGAAACTGTAATGGCAGACATTGTGTGTAACAAGCAGAAGTTTTCAAGTGCGCTTATCTGAATTCCGTAGTTGGGAGTGAAGGGTCGAGAAAAAATGCAGAGACACCGTAACGCGGTGGATCATGGCAGCGAAGGCTGAGGTGGAGCTCAGGAATGTGAGTATCGGTAACTGTAAGATAATTAGCCAGAAAAGTATTTGGGGAAAATGCACAAGTAGGAAAAAGGTCGCTCACCTTATAAAGAAAAAAGAATTAATAATAAAAATCATATTTCACATTTTTTTCCCATTTTGGGAGGAAAAAAAGTATTTTGAAATAGTAATTTAATAGTGAATGTGTGATTAAAAAATAAGAAAAAATTTTAAATTTATGTGCGATATTATTTAATTAAAAATGTGATTAAAAATAAGAAAAAAATGCATTTTAAAAAAAACGAGAATCAAATAAGGCCACAGAAAACCTATCACTCTTCCCTCCCTCACCTTTCTCTTCTCCTGCTGTTGGAGCTTCCCTTCACCCCACCCATCAAAGCCACAGTAGGCCTATTCTTTCTTCTTCTTTTTCTCTTCACACCCACCCACAAGAGGAGTAGCGACATTGTGGCAATGTTGGAGCACTGCGCGTCGAATACAGATTCGAAACCTAACTAAAAATATTCTTCAAAGATGGTTAACTCTGTGTGCGGCAGCATTGGAGTGCTGCGTGTCAAATCTAGATTGAAACCAAGAGATGGTTTCAGATTTGAAAATCTTTGTCAAATATGGTTAGCTCGGTGGCTGTGGCCAACAACGGGGCGAAAAGATGTTAGTGGTGAGATGGTGCTTGGGTGGTTGAAGGTGACTGCACATCTTGGGGGTGATAGCAGGCATCGATATGGGCTCCAAAGGATTTTAAGAGGCATTTGAAATTCTTGCATTGATTCTACTTGAAAAAATCATATCTATGCTTTTTGTTCCCTTTCTTTTGATGAACTATGACTCTTTTTGTTTTAAGTTGCTCGATTTTCACGATGATTATGAGGTTTCAAGTACTCTTTCCAAGGGTGAGTTAGTATCATTGTGGAAAGTCTCAAAAGGTTTGGCCTATCTTAAAGAATATTACAGTGTATCTAAGTCAAGAAATGACTACAACACAGTCTCTAATTAGACTTTGTAGTTATAGTTTAACACGAAGGGTTCGTTTGATTGCAAAAATAGAAAAAAACAAACGAATTCAAAGAAAAAACCAACAAGGCCATAGGAATTCGATTCCTATGAAGTTGGCCAAAAACATGTTTTACGTGTTTGTATCTTGAAATTTCAACTTCATTTTCACTTTTGTATCAAACAGCCAAAGTAGAAAACGAATTCTTCGAATGTAACATTTTTCAAGGAATTGTAGGAGAAAAGTAGAATTGTAGAGGAAAAGGAAAAGGAACCTTGACTATGAAATGGAGTTGGGGTGATTGTGGCACTGGCGGACCCACATGGGGTCAAATGACCTCACAATTTTTTGGATTTTCTTCACCCCCCCTCCCCCGCGCTTAAAACGTAATTTTTTGTCAAAGTAGTGAGCCAACCCAATTAATTTGCTTAGCCCAATGCCCAAAAAACTCAAACCCAAATCCTATTATAGTAACTTATGTTCTTATTTTCGTTAATGATACGTTGTTCGAAAAAAATTTCATTTTTTACCCCACAGTTCGAACAGTCTGGATCCGCCCTTGAATTGTGGTAAAGGAAATGGTGGTGAGATTTGTTTCATGTTGCAGCATCCGTGATAGTGGTGATAATTTTGTTGTTGGTTGGTGGTTTGCTTGTTTCTAGTTTGGTGGTATGGCATTTTGGTTAGGATGGATCAAGGTTGGGTGGATTGGGAAGAGTGTTTGCTACCGATTATTTGAGTGTTTGTGACAATAAATATTATGTAACTGATAAAATTAATAATTGTGACTAATAAATTATATGTGATCTAAAAAATGTTAAATTACGACTAAACTTGTAATTGTGACTCACAATTTTGTTAAATTGTGGTCAATTAATTTAATAATTTGTGATCGAAAAATAATTCGTGATCAATTAATTTGATAATTTGTAATCGTTAAATAAGTCGTGATCAATAAAATTTGTAATTTGTGATCCAAAAATAATATCTGACATATTAATTTGATAATTCATAACCAATAAAGAAATTGTGATCTATAAAAATTGTAATTTGTGATAAAAAAAAAATACTACATGATTTATTAATTTTATAATTTGTGATCAAGAAATAAGTTGTGACATATAAAATCTATGATTTGGGAAAATTTCATATATTAGGTGGAATACACACAAAACAATCAAAATTAAGATATACCCGATCACAAACAACCACAATGAAGACAAATTTGATCACAATCAATCGTAGTTAACACAAATTTGGTCATAATTAACATATAGATGGTCACAAACTTCAAATGTAAACATGGTTTGTCAAAAAACATTCACAGTTAACAAACGTCTGATTATACATGTCACTGTTGATAGAGACTTGATCGCATACAGTCAGAATTAAGACAAATATGGTCTTAGACGTTTACAATAAAGATAGACTTAGTTACAATAGACCACAATTAACACAAACATAATCACAGTAGGTCACTGTTGACATATAAATGGTCATAAATTTAAATGTAAACATGTTATGTACAAAAAACATTCACTATTAATATATGCCTAATTACGCATGTCATTGTTAACACAAACTTGATCACATATAATCATGATTAGGACAAACCTAATGACAAACAGTCATTATGAAGACAAAGTTGATAAAAAAAAAAAAAANTGTGTCCTAGCTTTGAACAAGAAGTCATTTCTCAATGCGTGGGGTAATTAAACTACCAAGTCTGAAATACATTTTTGTTTATGATAGTTTAAATTCTAGTAAAGTTTGAATCATAACACTCGTTGATTTTATTTCGGCAAAAAGAGTTTGATTTCTTCCGTTCTAAGTTCACTACAATCGTCTTAGCCTCTGTTCTAACCGACCACTACTCAATCAAAGAACTCCATTACTGATTGAGACAAAACTTTTGAATTTGCTCTCATTTTCATCGAAGATGAATCTTTTAGAAATGAAACAAATTAAATGAACCATGTGAATTCTAGTCAAGGAGCACATGGCAAACATCGATCCAAATTCAGGCTTGCTCGTAGTCATTCATGTAGTTCCTAATTGAATTTTCAATTTGCACACAAGGAGTTGGGAGTTTCTCCAAGTCAATCCCCAATTGCCCGATGGAATTCTATTGAGAGGTCAATATGTCGCTGGTTCTATTATTGGCATCCATGATTCTGGTAAGAATGAAAATGCACCCAAACTGATGGAAAATTAAAAAACTGGTCTAATCTTTTCTCCATTTTTTTGTTTAGCGCAATGATATGGCCTGAATCTGAAAGCTTCAAAGATGATGATATGGAAGTTGTTCCTTATCGTTGGAAGGGAATATGCCAGGAAGGCGAGGAATTTAATCAGGGACGGTGAAGACGCTGCTACACAGCGACGCAGCACCGCTCACAGCACTACTGGAGACAAAGACAGAGACGTCCCTACATAGCGGCATCGCATCGCTCTTGGCGCCACTTCGTAGCGTGAAAGTTGATTCAAAGCGACGCCATTGCGGTGGTGATGTTGTGAGCGCCAACGACTGTATCTTCGGTACTGGTTTGTGACAGAGAGAAGGGAGAAGAGATATAGAGAGAGAGATGGGAACAATGATTAGAGTTTGGAAACGAAACGGCATTAAACATTTGTTAGGTTTAATTAATTTTAATAATTATAATTATTAAAATCTAATTACTATATGATTTGTGAAATTTAAAATAATCCCCCCTATTTACGAAATTAATCTTTAAAAGTAAGTTTCTAGTTAATTTTTCCATAATTTATTTATGTTAGTAAGCGGCTCAATTGTATTGTGGAGCCGACACGTACCCAAAGATAACACTATGTAGCCGAGTTTCATGAAAATAGTAATAAGCACTTAATAAATGAGATAAATAATTCTCAAATAATACTTTTTTCTTGTTCGATTTAGCTAAAATTCAAAATTTTCCTATATTCTAATAAAAATTAATCAAATGTGCGATTGAAAAGTTGAAAAAAGTTAAAAATAAGTTCTGAAAATAGGAATTAAATATGGACTTTATTCAAGTTATCTTCCAAAAATAAATAAAATTCATTTATGATTTATCTCAATTAGCATCTTATATCTGGATAATATGTACCATCAATCAGAAGCACATTCTTTTCAAACGTAACCAGAACTTTTAATCATAATTTAAAACATCAAGTTACTAAAAAATTTGACTAAAAAAATTTCAGCTTATTTTTATGAGTTGTTTACAATGAGTTTAAATTATAATTACATAAAATTAATTGGTAAATAAATAAATTTCATATTCTTTTTATCATATATTTCATCAATTTTTATTAAAAAAATTTTTAAAAATGAACTTCTGGTGGCATAAAATAGGAGCTTAATATTATTATTAGTTTGTATTGCATTTTTTGTTCAAGTTGATGATATTTGATTTTAAAATATCAAATATATATATTGTATACCCTTGGGATCTACCAACCTTTTTATTATTTCAAGGAGAAAATGAATTTGGAATGGAAAATCAAATCCCTGCTTCACGGAACAAGATGGCTCATAACAAAAGGACCCAAAAATTGAAAATTTACTTTTGCATTTTGGATTCTTTTTTCGTGAAACCCGCAAGCGTACATGATCATTGTACAAATAATAAAAATAGTGAGTTTCGAATTTATCATTCCCACGAGAAATAATGTTTAAAATATAGTTTAATATTTGTATTAAATTCGAATGAGTAGTGACTAGAAAAATAGTGATTTTGTGGTTGTTTATACTACTTCTAGTCTATACTAATAAAACATGTAAATTTTGATATTATCGAATGTGAACGCTTGTATTGGATTCATGATTTCCCCTATTTCCATCTATTTCAATTATCAATTAATAGTCTAGTTAATTTCATGTATTTTTTACAATCGATAATTCTAATATGTTAAATGCTCTTTTCCAAGATACATCAACCTATGATTAACCTGATCCGATCCTATTCTTAGTCCAAATTCATACGAAAATCTTGCATTTATATTAGGTTATCTACATTATTACACATGTCATAGATATTATTCCTAATACATATTGT